TACGTAGCACGGTGCAGTGAACAACAGTGTATTCTATCATTCTTGTGTACGTAGGTATGTAGTATGAAAAATATAATTTATGTACATGGGAAACGTGTTATGTGTTTTTGTCTAAAACGAGAGTATAATGCATTACAATTTGCCTACAAGCCATAACATTCGTTATTTTCAGTTATTGTATATTGCTATCCCATAGAGCGAAAACGTAATCAAAACTTGAAAATTGCGGTGGATTAACCTTGGGCCGCTCATTTTACATTTCTATTGCAGCAAACTACGATTTTTTTTATCACTTGTGATTGTTACTTCCGCCTAAGCGCAGAGAAAGCGAAAACAGACGTTGCCCATTCATACGAACACAACGACAGGAATTTTATTTCGCTTAAAAAGTGCACTATCTACTCTCGGCCGCCGATCATAAAGATAACAATTTTGTTTGTTTGACTGTACCTCAAGTCTTTCAAAAGTTGCAGTGCCATTGGAGCTGAATTTAAAAATCAGCACGTCATTATGCAACGCATTGCTGTAATTGGGGGCACCGGCATGACCGGCCAATGTGTCGTGGATTATGCGCTGCAAAAAGGTATAATTGATGCCGTAAGTGATAAGCACACAATACGTTAATGTTTTTTTATTCTAGGATTGGCCGTCCGCCTGTTATATAGAAGTGAAACGACATTGCCGGAGCGTTTTAAAGGCAAAGTCGAATTGGTCAATGGCAACGTGCTGAATTTAGACGACTGCAAAAAAGTGATCGACGGTGTGGACGGGGTGTGTATCATTTTGGGCACTCGAAATAAGTTAGAGGCTACTACAGAATTATCCACCGGCACGGAAAACGTCATTGCCGCAATGAAAGAAAAAAATGTACCTCGTTTTTCTATTGTCATGTCATCATTTTTGTTCCGTCCGCTTTCAGAAGTACCGGGAGTGTTTCATAAATTAAACGAAGAACACAAACGAATGTTGGAGTTGACAAAGTCCTCTGGTTTGGACTATGTAGCTGTATTGCCACCGCACATTGCTGATGAACCGTCGTCTGATTACACGGTGCTGCATGATGAGGCTCCTGGCCGAGCTATTTCAAAGTATGACTTAGCAAAATTTATTGTAGATTCGCTAGAACAAGAGGAGCATATAGGTAAGGTGTGTGGTGTAGCCAAAAAGGTTGTATAATAAAATTTTACACCAGAGCAATTCCGCGCTGCATCTTTAGTTACAACGCAGTATAAAAATTTCTAAACATGCACACATGAACAACATGCATACGCACAAGGCGATTAATATAAAGATAAATTAAATATATTTGAACATGATGCGTCTACTGTTAGATATGTTATTAAATGTTTATAAAAAGGCATCAGTACGCTTAGCACGAAAAGCATATGAATACATTTATTATGCAATAAATGACTTGCGTATTTGGTTCGGAAATCGACGTTCATATACCGAATTATGGTCATCTAATTCCAGCCCTATTTTGAACGTTACACAGTAATTTGCAGGTGAAAAATTGTGTAGAATATTTGATAAAAATTTGTAGGAATAGAATTTATTCGTGATATAAATAATTTTCGATAATTAATTTTTGATTGAGATGTATTCACATTTTTATTTTCTTCTCTGGTGGTGGCTTCATATCGATTCCCTCGACCTTTGGCTCAATTCCACCAGGTACCGCATTGGCAGAAGGACTTGCCTCTGAGGGTACGATACCGTTATTCGAGCTAGCAGCAGTGTTAGCAACATTATTTGCATCAATTGCAGTGCCTTCTTGCGCAGCATTTTGCATTTGTGATTGTTGCAATTGTTGTTGATTTTGAATTTGTTGTTGATGTATAACTGGGGGTATCGGAGGGGGAAATTTACGCAACAGTTCAGCTAGCAGCATATCAACTCGTTGCTTTTGGAATATTGTTCCACTATCATCTTTATTAGACGATGCATCTTTCTTGTTAGCTTTCGACTTGTCTGAAACTACAAAAAGTAATTAAGAGTTATGAAGTTTTTATGTGCTTGTAAATGTAAACAATTACTCACGTGCTTTATTTGAAACAAAATCCCATGTGTATCCCTTATTTGGATGATATCTTGAATAGCTGCTAGCTTCTTCAAAAGCTGATTGCAAATTTGTAACTGTGGCAAGCTGAAAATTATTAGATGTTAAAAATAGTTAACATGAAATGTAAATTTCATACGATTCTTGAATTGATGACACTAGCCAGATCTGGTGCTTTATACACCATGCCACCAATAATATAATAATCCGCCATTGGTGTCGCCTCTGTTGGACTATGACGATGTTGCTTCCTAATAACATATAATATAGGTTCAGCCACATGCAGTAGGATATACTCAACACCAACCATATTGCTGCATAGGACAAATAATTAAATACTTAATTTATAATCATATTTTAAATAATTATACTTGAGATGCTCTAGACTCAAACGCTGCATACGAATCGTTTCATTGTTACAGACCCGGTCGTAGAACGGGTTGGATTTGCGACAAAAGTAATCCATAACTGTGGCAGGGCTAAGTGACGCCATCATCTGCGTATCGTGCCACGATACCCATAATGGATTCTCTTGTGCAATGGGTTGAGGTATCTGCCGCCCCGGTAGCATTTTAAGCAATGTTGCCTTTTCCAAAAACAAGCGTTAGCCGGCTTCTGTAGGTTGCTTCTTCTTTCTTCGCTTCCCAATACGCTATACGTCACTTGGGGTCAATGCGACGAACTTGAACGCCAAGTGTTGCCTTCTCTCGTTCTGATTAGCACATGTACAAATGTTTACAGTTTATTTTTAGTTTATGCTAACTTATTTGACGCAGTTTTATTTATTGTTTGTTGTGTAATTAATCTGTCGCAGTCGGTCAGTGATCGCTGGCACAAAACGTGAGGGCGTTATAGCAAATAAATTTATCAACGGGCACGCGACACAAAATCAGGTGATTCATTGCAGAGTATATATTTTAACTCGCCGTATTGTGGTTTACTTGTTGTGATAAACGTTTTGTTGTTAATTTTTATTTCGTTCACAAAGTGTTTTGAAAAATTGAACAGATGTGTAGAAAAATCTAAATCGGAAATGTCAACAAAATAATTGTGAGGCCAAATAACAGCTGACTGGGCTGCCATTGAAGTAAAAACCAGTGTTGTAAAAGGGTGACGGGTAAATATAACAAGAGGTTTACATGGTCAAAAGTTGGATTCACAGTGAATACACTCAAGGTCTTGACCACGATGCAGCGAACAAAGGTGGCGCCGTCAGTGGTACCGCTACTTTGGTTTTGCCAATTCTGACAGTTGTGGTAACTTGTAAATAAACCTTTGTTTACAAATCAGCGAAAGAGAAATTTTAATTATAAGTGAAAAATCAGTTTAAATTGTGTTAATTTGCAATTTGTGAGTGATTTTTGAGTTGAGGACTGCGTAAAAACTAATACAATGAAGTGCTGTGTGTTAAATTGCGACAGCCGTCAAGATGCAAGAAGCGTTCTGCAGTTTTCTGCAGCAGCCTTAATTGCAAAGCAATGGAGTGCACTAATATGTTCACTGTTCTCTAATAGATTAGGTGAAAAATGCAATATTTTCACATTTAGCAAAATTAAAACACGTTATTCTTTTCGCTCCATTCTTTATTTACTTGTGGTTCACAAATGTCAACGCCCAGGACGGCGCAATCTTGTATTCTATCATTCTTGGGTCTTGACCCAATGCATGCTTGCTTTGCTGCTTCCCTTTGAACTGCCAAAACTGTTATTCTTTCCAAAGTTGGCCAAATGAAGTTAGGTGTTTTCGATGATTTTTGGCAACTCATGCATATGAGCAAAGAACGTAGATAACAAGAAGGGACAACTCGTTATAATTGCGGCGAAAGTGCGCAACAGAGTAAAGAGCGAAATACACCACACAAGCGGCTTGTCAAACATACCTTTCCCATTTTGCCCAAGCACAGAATTTTAGTTTTCTTTCGGTTAACAATGTAAAACATTTTAGTTTTCTACCATTATTCTCCCTTACGTCTTCACTTGGTGAAATTTCAGTTGCAATTGAGGAGATTTTACCATCCACATCGCAAGCGGTTTGATCAAACGTCAACATGGCGGCCAGAAAATCAAAAAAATTTGATTTTTGCTCAAATTTCCCTCAAGCGGTTTGTCAAACCTTCAAAAACCCCATAGACAGCACAAATGGCTTGAAGCAAAGGGAAATTTCGCTTGGTTTGTCAAGCCGCTTGTGTTGTGTATTTCGCTCTTAATAGAGTAGGTTTAAAATTATAAAATTTTCATTTCAACAATCAACCTACCAAAACCGAAACCTTCAGCAAAACAACATTTCAGCATGCTGCATTTAAATCTATTTTGGTATATTTAAAGGTAAATTATGGTACAAACGAAAAATGTCATCCGGCAACCATAGTCACCACGCACTAAAGTAAAAAACTGGAGATTAATAGCAAATTAACGAATAATAAACTCAAGAAACGTAGTGCTTATTAAATTTACGCACTTTTTAGTTGTATACTAGCATTAATAATAAAAATTGCAATAATAACTCAAAAAGGCCATATTTTCTTTTGTTTATTTACAAACATGTGTTTGTGATCAGCTGATTTTCTTACTTGCAAGTTTTAGCTGGGAAAAAATTTTCCAGCAGAAATTTGCAGNTTTCACATTTTGCTCTCTCAATTTCCCCTACTTTGCAAGTTTTTTGGGTACGAGAACGCAAAACTAGTAAAAGTTTTCTAAAACTTTAGATAGTTGGGCGTACGAGTATACACCTATTATCATGCCTAATATCGAGTTTTGATCCCTAACCGTACGCCCTAGTGCAATCTGGTCCCAAAAGAAAGAACGCTCTCTAAGAAGAAATGTCAAAATGGTCCCAAAACAAAGAACGCTACCTAAAAAGAAATATCAAAATTGTCGACAGTGTTGCCAAGTTCTTAGTTAGAAAAAGCACTAAAACCCAAGATATATCGTGTTTTTTCTCGAAAAAAAGCACCAAGTTGGAGTATTCAGATTTAGATTTATGGACTTGGTATGCATACCTACACAATTTTGTAGTAATAGCCCGAAGACAATAGGGGTATTCTCCAAATCTTGCAAAGCCCTTGCACGTAGCACGGANAAAGAACGCTACCTAAAAAGAAATATCAAAATTGTCGACAGTGTTGCCAAGTTCTTAGTTAGAAAAAGCACTAAAACCCAAGATATATCGTGTTTTTTCTCGAAAAAAATCACCAAGTTGGAGTATTCAGATTTAGATTTATGGACTTGGTATGCATACCTACACAATTTTGTAGTAATAGCCCGAAGACAATGGGGGTATTCTCCAAATCTTGCAAAGCCCTTGCACGTAGCACGGATTGCATGGATTGCATAACTTGCAAACACACAACAACAAAATACATGCGAAACATCTCCCTGCAAAATATGCAACGGCGAAACCCATGTATATATTTTGCAAAGTAGCACAGCAAGATAAATGCGACCTTGTGCTAGTTGTTTTGTTGTTGGAATTGCCATATATTTCTCTCATTCCTATCATCTCGCTCACTCCATTTTTTTGCTGGCTCTTGTTATTGTGTTATACATAATTTCGCTGCTTGCTACCCATGCATGCTACCATGAACGAAAGACACAAGAAAGATCACGTAAGAACAAGAGAGTGAAAAAAGTCGATTTTTTTTAGCGGGTTCTACGCCATCTTGTTTCACTGGAAAACGAGCGAAAAGTAAACAAAGCAAAGAAAACAACGAAAACCAAAATTAGCCAAAATTATTGTCAGCCACTTTAAACGCACAATTTAGGTAAAATGATGCAACAAAATGCTTTAAAATGTGTTGTCATGTTGAATTAACTCTTCTTTACTTGAATAAAAGTGTAAAATAGTGGTGCTTGTGATGTAAACAAACGCCCAGCTGACGNCCTCGCGTTCTTACGTGATCTTGTATTTTTGGTTCATGGCATGCTACCACAATGGGGTGCTCTCGTACTCTTCGAAATTTGGAATAGTATTTTTGCATTTCGTGCAATCCGTGCATCGTGCAAGACTTCGAGAACACCCCTAATGAAAACGACGAGCTACAGACCACAGCTATGAAATCATTTTAACACGTACTCTTATGTAGATAATTATTTTGGCGACGACCGGGCTATGATTGTGGCCAGATTAGATCTATTTGCTATCAAGCGGATTCATTCAGTAGGCAGTTGTAAATTACCGTACGTAGTTCTGCATTGATTTAAATTGATGCCACATATTTGGAACAAATGCAGTTGGGCTCCAAATCTCAAAAAAAAAAATAAATAAAATATTGGAATCGATAGAGATGATTAAGCTGAGTATAACGGTATACTTCTGCCTGCGACCGCACTTAGGGATTATAACCCTCACAACGTAGAATTACCTTTCTAAGTTGCGAGGAAAAGGCACTGAACACCTTTTGCAGAGAACACCTTTCTGCGTAGGCGCTTTCGGCCGCACTTAGGGATTATAACCCTCACAACGTAGAATTACCTTTCTAAGTTGCGAGGAAAAGGCACTGAACACCTTTTGCAGAGAACACCTTTCTGCGTAGGCGCTTTCGGCCGCACTTAGGGTTTGTAAGCTTTTTTTCTAATTATTTTACATTAATTCAGTTTTTGTAAGAACATATATATAAAGTACGTATAGCAAATTAAAGGGAATCAAATTTGCTATTAAATGAGATCAAAATTTTCAAAATCCATTCATTGGTTTCTGAGAAATCTTGATTTCAAAAATTGCTTATTTTGAACTTTAACCTTGNAGCGCTTTCGGCCGCACTTAGGGTTTGTAAGCTTTTTTTCTAATTATTTTACATTAATTCAGTTTTTGTAAGAACTATAAAACATATATATAAAGTACGTATAGCAAATTAAAGGGAATCAAATTTGCTATTAAATGAGATCAAAATTTTCAAAATCCATTCATTGGTTTCTGAGAAATCTTGATTTCAAAAATTGCTTATTTTGAACTTTAACCTTGTTGTTGTTGTTTTCACAAAAAAAGAAGTATACCGTTGTACTCAGCTCAATCATCTCTATCGATTCCAATATTTTTTTTAATTTGAGATTTGGAGCCCAACTGCATTTATGCCACATATTTTGTTGATAATTGTTCGATTTCTGTAAAGTTGCTTACAAAACTTATAATTGATATAAATTTGGGGTCCATTTGTTGAAGAGTAGCAGATTTGGTGTCTTCAAACTAAAAAAAGCATCGAAAAACGCCCCTAGCAAGAGAGAACGTAGCTCAAAAAATTCGCGTTTTNAATTACCGTACGTAGTTCTGCATTGATTTAAATTGATGCCACATATTTGGAACAAATGCAGTTGGGCTCCAAATCTCAAAAAAAAAAATAAATAAAATATTGGAATCGATAGAGATGATTAAGCTGAGTATAACGGTATACTTCTGCCTGCGACCGCACTTAGGGATTATAACCCTCACAACGTAGAATTACCTTTCTAAGTTGCGAGGAAAAGGCACTGAACACCTTTTGCAGAGAACACCTTTCTGCGTAGGCGCTTTCGGCCGCACTTAGGGTTTGTAAGCTTTTTTTCTAATTATTTTACATTAATTCAGTTTTTGTAAGAACATATATATAAAGTACGTATAGCAAATTAAAGGGAATCAAATTTGCTATTAAATGAGATCAAAATTTTCAAAATCCATTCATTGGTTTCTGAGAAATCTTGATTTCAAAAATTGCTTATTTTGAACTTTAACCTTGTTGTTGTTGTTTTCACAAAAAAAGAAGTATACCGTTGTACTCAGCTCAATCATCTCTATCGATTCCAATATTTTTTTTAATTTGAGATTTGGAGCCCAACTGCATTTATGCCACATATTTTGTTGATAATTGTTCGATTTCTGTAAAGTTGCTTACAAAACTTATAATTGATATAAATTTGGGGTCCATTTGTTGAAGAGTAGCAGATTTGGTGTCTTCAAACTAAAAAAAGCACCGAAAAACGCCCCTAGCAAGAGAGAACGTAGCTCAAAAAATTCGCGTTTTGAATAAAGCACTAAATTAAGTGCGAAAAGCAGGAAGTTGGCAACAGTGATTGTTGAACCAGCAAAGCAAAAGGAAATAAGTAAAGCATTTTTGACACTTGGCTGCCGTTCTTGCTAAATTTTTCTTTGTTTCCTTTTGCGAAAATCTATTTATAAATTTTGTTTTATTTATTCGGCTATTAATCGGCGTTTTTGGCGCCAGCTGAGATTTTAACAAAAAGTATTTCCATGAAAAATTTTTGTAAGTTATGGAAGTGTATTCAAAGTTTTTCGAAGGAAATTGAAATTAACATATCAAGCATTCCTCTGCAAATAAACGACTCAAAACTATCAAATTAAACATATTAAATCAAAAAGTAAAATTTGCTTGGAGGAACGTTTATTCGCCCCACGAAGGGGAGTGCCATCAACTAGTAGAAATATTGCGGTGCAGAAGCAACGCAGATTTGGGCAGCTCAATCAGTTCATTCTTTACAGTCCGTCGTGGCGTTTCTAAAAAAGAAAAACAACGAAGAAATCGCATCATGGTAAAAATCAATTTATTTGTGAATTTTTGTAGTGCTGTATTTTTAATTATATTTGTACTAATATTTGTGTGTTGTTGGCTTTTCGAGGTTTAGCAAAATATGATTTCTAAAGCGATTCATTTTAAGCGGAAAAAACTGACCATCGCGATTACATTAACATTTCCATCTTAGTGTTTGATTTAGAANGATTACCGTACGTAGTTCTGCATTGATTTCAATTGATGCCACATATTTGGAACAAATGCAGTTGGGCTCCAAATCTCAAAAAAAATAAATAAATAAAATATTGGAATCGATAGAGATGATTAAGCTGAGTATAACGGTATACTTCTGCCTGCGACCGCACTTAGGGATTATAACCCTCACAACGTAGAATTACCTTTCTAAGTTGCGAGGAAAAGGCACTGAACACCTTTTGCAGAGAACACCTTTCTGCGTAAGCGCTTTCGGCCGCACTTAGGGTTTGTAAGCTTTTTTTCTAATTATTTTACATTAATTCAGTTTTTGTAAGAACTATAAAACATATATATAAAGTACGTATAGCAAATTAAAGGGAATCAAATTTGCTATTAAATGAGATCAAAATTTTCAAAATCCATTCATTGGTTTTTGAGAAATCTTGATTTCAAAAATTGCTTATTTTGAACTTTAACCTTGTTGTTGTTGTTTTCACAAAAAAAGAAGTATACCGTTGTACTCAGCTCAATCATCTCTATCGATTCCAATATTTTTTTTAATTTGAGATTTGGAGCCCAACTGCATTTATGCCACATATTTTGTTGATAATTGTTCGATTTCTGTAAAGTTGCTTACAAAACTTATAATTGATATAAATTTTGGGTCCATTTGTTGAAGAGTAGCAGATTTGGTGTCTTCAAACTAAAAAAAGCATCGAAAAACGCCCCTAGCAAGAGAGAACGTAGCTCAAAAAATTCGCGTTTTGAATAAAGCACTAAATTAAGTGCGAAAAGCAGGAAGTTGGCAACAGTGATTGTTGAACCAGCAAAGCAAAAGGAAATAAGTAAAGCATTTTTGACACTTGGCTGCCGTTCTTGCTAAATTTTTCTTTGTTTCCTTTTGCGAAAATCTATTTATAAATTTTGTTTTATTTATTCGGCTATTAATCGGCGTTTTTGGCGCCAGCTGAGATTTTAACAAAAAGTATTTCCATGAAACATTTTTGTAAGTTATGGAAGTGTATTCAAAGTTTTTCGAAGGAAATTGAAATTAACATATCAAGCATTCCTCTGCAAATAAACGACTCAAAACTATCTAATTAAACATATTAAATCAAAAAGTAAAATTTGCTTGGAGGAACGTTTATTCGCCCCACGAAGGGGAGTGCCATCAACTAGTAGAAATATTGCGGTGCAGAAGCAACGCAGATTTGGGCAGCTCAATCAGTTCATTCTTTACAGTCCGTCGTGGCGTTTCTAAAAAAGAAAAACAACGAAGAAATCGCATCATGGTAAAAATCAATTTATTTGTGAATTTTTGTAGTGCTGTATTTTTAATTATATTTGTACTAATATTTGTGTGTTGTTGGCTTTTCGAGGTTTAGCAAAATATGATTTCTAAAGCGATTCATTTTAAGCGGAAAAAACTGACCATCGCGATTACATTAACATTTCCATCTTAGTGTTTGATTTAGAGCAAATTTCTATCGAATAGTATCACCTTTGTATTGTTTGGAGAATATATTTAATATATGCATATGTGCGATTATGCAATTTTAAATCATTTTTACTATTAAGNGCAAATTTCTATCGAATAGTATCACCTTTGTATTGTTTGGAGAATATATTTAATATTCGCGCACATACTGACTTATATGTATGATTTGCATATATATGCATATGTGCGATTATGCAATTTTAAATCATTTTTACTATTAAGCTCCTTTAATTTGTTTACTTCGTCGCCGTCCGTGGCGGTTGGACATAAACCTTGAAATTCATGGACAATCGCCTTGTACCCCGACCAAGTACATATGTTTGTAAGTATATATGTATGTATTTTTATATTTATAGCTGCGTTGAAAGTAAACGCATTTATAAACATTCATACATGCATATGTAAGTACCATATTCATTTTATTTGTACAATAGATAGATGGGACTGGTCGGCGATTCGGCTAAGCCCTCGCACCAACGACAAGCCTGCCCAGCGAGGGCTTTGTACAATAATTTATGGTTAAATAGCACAAAACTTTTCTTCATGTAAAAAATCTTTCCCATGTTTGAAGAAGTCGTTGACTGTTAGCTAGATATGTATGTAAATATATGTATGCATGCATGTATTTTCGTCAATATAAGTACATATCATATGAAACATGTATATAATATATATGTTGTAAATTTAAAAATTAAATGTGTCGTATATATTATGTACAATGCACATATGTATATCATAGAATATGCATATGCTATATATGTTTGAGTGAAAAATGTTAAGTGCAAATAATACTATAAAAATATTATATACTTAGAATTTTAGCGACGCTTTCTTGATCTCTGCCGCCGTGGAAATAATTTATATTTTAGTTAGCCAATATACGCACAGCATTAATTGAACATGCGCTTCATTAAGTCGGAACCATATTATGAGGTATCCAGCAATATTTTTATTTGCTAGTTGATTAGTTTAAAACATTCAATTATTGGAATAATCTATTTGATGATTTTATATAGTATGTTACTTACTTATTTGTGTACGCTTTCAGGGTCTTCCACCATTTAATGAGTCGGGTAGTCCCTTCAATGTCGTCCCCATACACAATTACCCCGAGCTAATGAAGATGACATGCGAGCTGATTAACTCTGAATGGCCGCGTAGTGAGACGGCTCGCATGCGTTCGCTTGAAGCTTCCTGTGATACACTGCCCTGCAGCCTAGTTTTAACTACGGATGGAATGAATCGTGTTATTGCTCATTGTAAATTAAGTCCAATACCGTCCAAGAAGATGGCCTGCTTCGTCGAGTCGGTAGTGGTGGACAAAAGTTGTCGTGGACAAGGTTTTGGCAAATTAATTATGAAATTTGCGGAGGACTATTGTCGTATTGTATTGGATTTAAAAGCAATTTATTTATCATCAATCGACCAAGATGGTTTCTATGAACGCATAGGTTATGAGTACTGTGCGCCCATTTCAATGTATGGACCGCGTCATTGTGATTTGCCTAGTTTGGAGAATGCCAAAAAGAAATACATGAAGAAAGTCTTATAGATATCAATGCCAGTATTTTTAAGGCAAACGAATGAGAAGGTGAATTCTACTAATTGGAATATTAGCGAAATAAAGAAGAGAATGGAGATCACTTCACGAGGAGGCTACGTTTATGCGCTTTATAGTTTTTGAAGAACATGTTTTTAAAAAGAGTTTACATAACATAATTACAAATTGCTACATACATACATACGTATGTGTATCGAAGAAACGCACAAGCATATGTCGATATTATTAACAAATTAAATTTGTAACGAATTGAATGAAATGAACCAAGGACTGTAAATAGGGAAAACACCAAAAAATGGAAACAAAGTATTTACAATAACGAGATAAATGTTGCGCCAGATTGCTGAAATGTTTGCTCTCTCTTCGAATCATTCGCTATAATCAAAGAAGCATGAAACTCGATGAACTACAAATAATTCCATTAATATAAATATTTATATAAATACATATACTGATATTGATTTCTTAATATCACTTTTTGATTGTATTTCTAAGTGAATTTTTATGTTTATCGGTATGCTAAAAAGAGCTGTAGCACTGCTAGCTATTTATTAGCATTATTAACCTTGGCACTCTCTGCAAACTAATTTTGCACATATTATTTATTAGTGATTGTTTATATTATTATTATTGATTTATATTGAATTAACTTTCTTGTACTTTTGAAATGAAATAAATTCAATATGATGATATGATTCATGATAAGAATTTTAATTTTTTATATTTTCGTTCCAACTAAAAATTCAGCAGACAATTTGGTAGTTAAGTAAGCTAAGCTGTGTTTAGATAATATATCAAAGCAATTATTCAATATGTAGAGTGAGCCAGTCAATATATATCACACGTTAAACTCTTCCAAAAATTATTAAAAATAGGTGGTGTTTTAGTACTTTAGTGCTGTTCAAATATTCTTGTATGAATATTTTTGTAGAAATATTACTGTTAATACGCTTTGTAGATTTATAAATACATACATATGTACGTATTTACATGTCACCATTAATCCAAAAGGCCCTGATTTGACAAATTTGAAATTTTACGGTAGCAAGAAACTTTTTTAAATTAACACTGAAAGGGCTTACAGGCCACAAGCCAATAAATCTTACATTACAAGACATGGTCTTAAATTTTGCTATGGAGGTATATCTGAGAGAAAACTAAAGGAGCTTGCAAAAAACGTGTTTTCGAAAAAGTGTCATATAGGGCCTTTGCATTGATAGTGACGATAAGTAACATAAATATTTAACCGTAAAGTTGAACAAATACAACGCAACATTAAATTGAATGAGTTTATGAAACTAATAATCTAAAATACAATAAACTGGACAACGTTTAAAACGATTAAAAAAATTGTTTTCTTTTTAATATTCCCAAGCTAAAACTAATTAGGCTCAAACTCAATAATCTAGTTACATACTCAAATATTATATAGTATATATTTTATACTATATTATGTTAGTAACAATGTACATACATAACGTTAGTATAGTATTCAAAGGGCGCATCGCACATTGTCGCTGCAAAAAAGCCACAACTAACTAAAAATTTTTATTGCATAAAACGATATGGGGACTTATAATTCGATGAAATGCATCAATCGATCAAAAAGTATATTTTGGAGTTTCAGTTAATTATTGCTTTTGTATTTCAACGATATATGTATGTATAGATGTGTACATATTTACGACGAGACATTTGGGGTCACCTGTAAGATCACAAATTATGCTACGAACCGGTTTTAGATCAAATGCAACCACATATTTGTTGTTTTTTCATTGTACACAACGAAGCCGCTCAAAATAGCATCATAATTTCATTAATCAAGTTCAAGTTCGAGGCGACATCAACCACCAGCTATTGCCGACGAGAATAGTGATCAAACCGACATGTTGTATATATATAAATATCTATGTACGTAAATATGCATGTGCATACTGTGCTTTAAACATTTATGCCTTCCTCGTGGATGCGTTGCCACAAAGCATGCGACAAAAACAAAAAATACAACAATACAAACTATTTAGACGCTTGCCGTGGCAGACACCATACACAAGAAAAAATCAACAATTCAGATTAAAAATTTGGACGTTGATGTAATGGTTGCCCGTCTGGCTATTTTCATTTTCGTCTGCCTATTGCAACAAGAAACAATGTGGTGCAACAAGAGTATAGTGCTGGTGTGAAATTTAAAATACACATAAGCATGCTTACACATAGATATGTATGTATTTGCATACACGCTGTTAAGATAAAAGCATCTAGCACAGTTTCTGGCATTCTAAAAGACTCAAGCATGTTTGTTGCAACATTTAAATTATACTTTCTGTTCAAAAAGTTTCTTATTTAAACTAACCCAGCTTGAGTCAAAACCAGTTTTTCTTTTACTTTATGACCAATGTCGATGATCCCTAGCTAACTTTATCTCAACTTGTTGATAGCCATCAATTTATCCTATTCAACTTATCTCAGCTCTGTCAGCCAGACTACCCTGACTCAGGAATTCAAGATGGGATAAATTGGTGGCTTTCGACCAGTTGAGATAAAATAGCTCGGGACATCGATGCTGGAAGTGGCTCAAACAGCTCATTCAAGGTTTAAAAAAATCAGTCGGGATTCATCTGCCAAGGTCCCGATACATTTTCCGTACCCAGCTATCATTTTGGGAAAAGCGCTTTGAAACTAATACGGTATTTACATGAGTCGATTATACAGACAACTTTTAGTTGAAAGCAACAATCGCCTGGTGTGAACGTCCTTTCAACAAATCGCTTCCAATGAAGTTAGGGGCAACCAACTTTTGATTGAACTATCGCCTCCAAAATTGGCCCATGTTTACTTTGCAACCGGTAAAAAAAGTTTTCGTTTCAAGTTTAGTAAATATAATTTTTAAATTAATCGGTTACAAAATATCGGTAACAGCAGAATAGACGTGAATGGAATATTTTAACACCCAAATTCATAAAAAATTGAATAGAATTAAAATGTTCCATTTGTCGAATAATTTAATTAAGTTGGCACCTTGTAAAGCTTTTTAAATACAGTTTAATTTTTACTAACAATGTCGTTAGTTTTTGAATTTTTGACAAACCAAATCATTTTGAATTCGGCTTTTTCCTGTAAAGCAATAAATTCTTGTATTTGTATGCGAATTGTATCTTTTAGCATGTGATAGATGTAATTTAGGATGCCAGTTTCAATAAAACTTTAACAAGGGCACCTAAGTTTATATGCAATTAAAAACATTTAAGCTAAAGTTGTTTTGTCAAAGGTCCACAAAAATACACGTAAGCTTTTAATAAGAAACCGATATAATTTTTCTGAAAAATTATTGGACCTTTTTGAACAGAGAATGCATGTATTACATACAACAAATTTATGCGCGTTTGCATTTTTGGCAATGACCACCAAAAGCCACCGGAAGGTAATTTTTCGCAAAATGTTCCGCATTTGTGTTGTCATGTTTGTATGTACACTTTTGAATATATGCACATTTTTAGAATATATTTCACTCCCAGGCGATGCCGGCAAAATGCCAGTAGTTTAAATTGTTACACATACTACTGTCAGCTACATTGCTGTTTAATGACAACCGCCGACATGCTAAAATGTTAACGAAAAAGAAGGTGAAAGGTTAGGTATTTAATGATTCTATTTGCAATAAATTTTAAAATAGATCACTTAATATGTATACTACAAATGCTTGTTGCAAAATAGCACGAATGTTTATGTGTACAGTCAATCAACAAAGTTTAGGTTATGCGAGAAACAAAACATTAAAAAACAGTTGCCCGAATTGCAAAAATGTCTACCTAAACTTTATTGATTGATTGTATATACATATGTGGGTATATAAATATACATGTCCTGCAGTGGAAAAAAACCAAATTTTAAGTTTCATCAAACAACGAAAACTATTTTATATTTCCGAAACAACAAATGTTGAGTATTTATTTGTATGTATATCATGTATTGTAAATTACAGTCAATCAATTAAATTTAAAGGCTTTAATTTTTTCAAATATATTAGGGTAAAGTTTTAGAATGAAATTATATACTAGAATTTAAAACTTACATACTCGTATTCCGTCTACATACGTACATATATGCATTTACTTGAGGCGCATAATGCGCTTAATGTAATTTTCAAGAATTACACAACTAAACCTTAAAGTCCATGTCGTATGCAAGAACACGTTTAAATAAATTCATAATAAAATGCAAAGAAGCGAAATCTTCTTGGGTACTGAATGGAAAACCTCCATTGCGTTAACCACATAAGGGGTATTCTCCGAGTCTTGCAAAGCTCTTGCACGGCGCATGGACTGCACAGCAAATATCGGTTTTCTTCTGCGACAGTTTTGCAAATCGTGCACCGTGCGAGGGCTATATAAGGCTGCGAAATACCCCTATAGAACTTCTGCATGTATATATGAAGGAACGGAAATTAACTACGAAAAAGGTAAACATAAAAAATAAATAAAGTGTCTTAAGAAACGTATAAAAACATTAACGCATAGATTGCGTTTATTTTGAATCATTTGCAATTGCATTGTTTGTCATCTTCTTGGCACTGTTTTCTGTGCCTTGTTGATTAGAGGCATTGTTAAAGTGTACAGTTTTGTTATGTTGAAAGAGGTCCATTATACATTTGAATGATAACTTGCATTGATGACATATAATTGACTTGTTGGGAGTCCGATGTACCCCAGCATGTGCATTCGTTTTCTTTACCATTCTTGCAGATGGTGGTGCCATTTCCGATAGTAAGCCATCAACTGCGGCAGCAGCAGTGTTTGCTATCATTGTAATTTCAGCGAGAGCTATGAAAAATAGTAATATATTAAGTACCATTGTTCTTTTTTTTTTAACTAAAATCTTAAGATTAGAATACCTTTTTTATCGTTAGCAGAATCGGTAGAACTAACAGAAATGCTACTTAGGTCCGAATGAGAACGCTGCGTTGGAGCACTTATCGAAGATGTCATTTGCGTTTGTGAATTTATCTTACCATTAGATGAATTTGCATGAAAAAATTCAGGCAATTGAGCTTTTCCAATGTGATCCATCTCATGAAAGTTTAGCTTGCGCTTCTCATTTGGTGGAATTTTAGGACAATTTTGCAAAAGATGAATGTGTAAGGCACGCAGCAGTGCAAACTTTTTGTCGCAATATTTACATTTATTTACACCATTTGCTTGCGAATTTACTGGTGCAGTGTTCGAAACGTTTGAAGTTGTTTTCTTAACAAACGCCGGCAATTCATCGCCTTCATGAGAGCGTTTATGTGCATCCAAGAGAGACTTTATGTAATATTTGCTGCCACAAACATTGCAAACAAACGACGTCTCTGCTTTTCTAGCTAGACTTGGTCGAGGTTTCGCATTAAGTGTTGTCAATGTAGAAGCGATGGTCGTTTTGTACGATTCACTGCGTGGCTTGTCAATAGGAAATATTGACTTTCTATTAGATGGTATTGATTTTAAGGAATCAGAAGGGGGCTTTGATAAAGATTGTGAACTGGTAACGCTATTTGTGGATTGAGTGGACTTCCCAACTGGCAGCATACTTTTGCGACTAGTCTTCAGTGACACAGTTGGTGCGACATTTTTCCAGTTCTGTTGTCCCGTTGGTAATACCGACCGTCGAGCTATTTTACGAGCTGGGCTGTTTAATGTGGTCTTAACCAATACAGACATACGATGAGTGAACGCGAAAGGACGCTTTTCTGGTAGTGATTTGGCAGTTGTTGGTAGGATTGAAGAACGTCCCTTCGAGTTACATGAAATGGACTTACGTTTATCCAATACAGAAGAAGTTTTGGGTTTATCATTTATTACAGTTGTAGGTTCAGTGAATTTCAAAACCTTATTCAACAATTTTGGTATTTCTGAATTTATCTCTTTGGCTAAATTCGTCCTTGCTGCATTTGTGACAATTCTCGATGGACGATTAGTTAAAAGATTGGGCTCACAAAGAGATTTCTTTGCCATTGATTGGCGTTTGTTGAAATCTGCTACTTGCACTGCAAATTAGTAAATAAAATAATAAAAAATATTTGTGATTTATGTCAGAACCTAAATGAGTTTTTAGGCTTAGATATTTAAAATAAATATTTTCCCTGCTGAATCATTTACCTTTACTTTCCACTGCAGCTTTAATGGTTTGATCGTCGGTATTTTTTGGCGTTTCATCGTCTTCGGTATTTGCCATTTCAGTAGTTTTCGATGTTTCACATTCTGTTTTTTCACTTTCAGCATCTGATTTTAGAGTACTTACTTCGAGTATTTGTACCTTTTCTTCTTTAGGTAAAGTAGGAATTTCTTCATTACTTTTAACAGATAGTAATGCTACTTCGTTTAGAGGTAAGGTATTTTCTTTATTCTTAACATGGTCATTCTCAATTTTCTCCTCCATATCCATAAAAGCCAATTTCATATCAAAGCATCTGTCGGCGCTTGACCCACGATTTACTTCCACGCTGCGTAACAGTTGTTCCTTTGTTGGTGTCGAGCTGGCAATATTAAACTCTTGGAGTACTCTCTTTGGTATAGCAGACAGCTGCGAATGTGTGTCCATATCCTTCACAGACGCAAGGTAGTTTAAGTGTGAATCGATTGCCTCCAATGTACTATTTTGATTCAGCTCTTGAGAGTTTTCCACTGTTTCCTCCTCATGGTCCATGTTAGATAAAATCGAAAGATTATCTGTGGTCGCTTCTAGAGTCTTGTAAGCAGCACTGGAAATGCTCGAATCGAACGACAAATACATAGAAACACCCGTGGTATTTGCTTCACTATAAGTTTGTCTGGAAACGTCCATTTTGTACTTTCTAATTCACTCGCTTAGTTTTTATTTCGACAAATGTGTCCACAATACTTAAAAACAGACGCGGGAACACTAAATTGTTTTCTTCTGTGCTAAATTTATTTATTTTGTTCAAAGCCCGCTTGGAATGCACTCAATATTTTTCCTTTCGGTTTTTGTCAAAGCGTTATTTTTGAAAGCATTTTAGCTGTCACTTTTGTCCAATACAGAGTTGCTCAACCGATAACACTGAACAATAATTTGAGGTGGGTTCAGTAGTAAATAAATAATCTTCAACATAACATCACGCCTACACGTTGTTTAGATTTTAATAGAGCGCACTAGACTGATCCATGGTGGAATAATAACAAGGCGTTGCCAGTAGCGACGTGTTTGTTGTAATTTTGACTAGTTCAGCATGCATGAACGAAAGACACAAGATCACGCGGGAAGGAAAGAACGAAAAAAGTTATTTTCTAGCTGCCGAAATCTCGACGCCATCTTTGTTGTAAGAAGTAAACAACGAAGAGAACGGAGAAAACCGCGAAATTGTTGAACGCATGAAAAATCATTTTTATTATGCAAATTCTTCTATAAATCATGCCGTT